TGCTATGAGCAAAATGCTACGTGTGTGTGTGTGTGTGTGTGTGTGTGTGTGTGTGTGTGTGTGTATAAACAGAATGAGCAGAAGAGCATGCCATAGTCTGGATCTTGAATGTCCTGTCTCAAGGGTCCATGTGTTAACAGCTTGATCCATATAGAGCTACTGGGAGGCAGAGAAACTTTTAAGAGGTGGCACCTAGTAGGAGGGGCTTTAGGTCACAGAGGCTGTTCCCTGGGAGAGAAATGTGAAACCTCACCCCTGACCCTTTCTCTTTAGCTTCCTGTCTATGATGTAAGCAGCTTTGCTTCACTGCGTTCCCAACATGATACACCACCTCACCACAGGCTGAAAGCAAAGGGACCCACTGATCACAGACTGGAATCTCTAAAGCTGTGAGCCAAAACCTTTCCTTTTTATAGTTGATAATCTCAGGTATTTTGTTACAGTGGCAGAAAGTTAATACAGTGTCCTTTTTGGTGTCAAGAGGCTCTATAAGTCCCAATTATGGTTACCAGAGTTGACACCCTGAAAAGACAGGTTCTGCCTGAGGAGCTGGGTACCCATTCCCTCTGTGCAGAAGAGTTGTCTCCTTCTCCCTTGATGGCTTTGCTCATGACCAGCCTGCACCAGCTCCACTGGTTAAATCACTGGAAAAGCCAAGGAAAATATTTTCATATCTGCCTGGGTCTAGAGAAGCCAGTACAAAGCAAAACTATCCACAGAGACATCCTGCATCTTGGTGCGCTGTGAGAAAACTGTTTCGTTAAGAGTCCATGTCTGTCAAGGGAAGAGCAGTGATCACTCACACCAGCAAGAAAGGCAACAGCTGCTTAATTCCAGAAAGAAAATCAAATTGAAAATTGGCAAATCCACAGACAGTCCACAGATGCATTCCTTGACCTGTAACATGTTTTCAGTTTTTTTTTTCTCAACTTATTCATTTTTGTTTTATGTGTATGAGTGTTTGCTTGCATGTATGTAAGTGCACCATGGGTGTGCAATGCCTATAGAGGCCAGAAGAGGGTGTCAGATGCCCCTGGAACTAGAGTTATAGGTGTCATGTAAGTGCTGGGAACTGAACCCAGGTCCTCTGCAAGAGAGGCAGTGCTCTTAACTGCTGAACCATCTCTCCAGCCTCCCCTGTAATGCCTTTAAAAAAACATAGATAGACAATATTTTGAAAGTCTGAAAACTTCATATGAAAACTTCTAGATTTTCTTAGCAGAATCTGAAGCTCCAGCAGACCCAGTCCTCAGAGCCACAAATAAACAACCTCTGCTGAGTAGTCCTGACTCCTAGAGAGGAGGCAGGTGCTCATCTATCCAGAAGGTTCAATTGGTGAGCTCACTCTTGTATACCACACATGCCTGGTCTTGCAAGTCTGGTTTTCCCAAACTTCTATATCCCAATAAAGTCTAGTAAGTGACAACTGTCACCTGGAGATTCTAAGTAGGCACCAAAAAGGGCCAGTGATTTCTGACCTGACTGACACTGACAGGATGTGTCTTTCCTTACAAGGTCGGTTATGAGCCACACTCACATACTCCTTCCATTACTGGTTTTCTGGAGGGACAGAAGAAGAGGACTGGTCATCACTGTGATACCCACCTAAGAGCTCACTGGTGGAGAAATGGAAAAGTGTGCCAGGAAGAACATCCTACTGGTAGAGGGCTTCTCCAAGCCACAGCACCTTGAGGGCAGCAATAACGGTGCCAACTGAATAGTTGTATCTCAAGACAGCAAACAGAACATACTGAAATTCCAGTGGGAAGAGCTCACCCACACTTGAGAACCCCAACACTCTAGCCTATCCTGGTCTCCTCCTCAGTGGTCATACTTTTAAGAAGGTTTAACACGTACTGCAGGGGAGACAGGTTCTAAGGATGCAAAGGGTGGCTCCCTTGGGTTCCCACTGGCCTAGGAGCCCTGCCAGGAAAGCCAGGAGTGCAGCCACCACATCCACACTTCCTTCTCCTCCTCACTTTTCAGCTTCGACTGTCAACATCTGAAAGCCAACAGGCGAGGTTCCCTTTTCCACATCTCACCATCTAGCACAAGGTTTCACATGGAGATGAACAAGCAAATGATAACCTGAGGCCTGCAGAAGTTCACATCTCCTCAGGATACTTGGGTTGGAGTTTAAACTCTTCTCTCTGGAATCCCAGTCTGATAGTGCTGTTATGATTCAGCACTGTTTCCTTTGTTTGGATGTTGTTGCATGACTAGAGTGATGTGAACAAACTGTTCCCCTCAGATAAAGCACCAAAGAAACAATTCTACCTAAGTCTTTCTGGGTGAACCAATGAGTGTAGCATGGGAGCATGGACAACTTATGGGCAGCTACACCACTGAAGGAATACACCCCCCCCCCCGAAATTGTTGGTTCCTATTTTGAGAAAGGGAGGAGCCTCTGCTCTCCTGGGCCTCCTCACAAACTGCTCATATGGATAATCACAGTTGCTTTGAGTTCAAGATGGCAACAGTATTTCCATGTCTATTGCTGTTCAGAAATACACATGATGCTCTTTACTTGTAGACATTAAAGATCATACCTGTCAGTACCTATTTTGCAATCCTTGGTGGGCTTTTCTAAAATAGTGATCATACATACTGGTTTGCCCAGGATAACCTTGGTTTATGCCCACTGTCCTGGTTTAAACATTAGTAGCTACTTCCTTTCATTTTCAAAAGTATCTAGATTGAATGCTAAATGTCATTAGAGGCCAACAAACTTTTCATTTTTTAAAAAAGATCAATTTTTAAATTTTATATATGTGACTTGTCTGCATGTAAATGTGTGCACCATATGCATGCAGTACCCTCAGAGACTAGAAGAGGGCACTGAATTCCCTGGAACTGGAGTTATAGATGGTTGTGAGTTAGCATATAAGTGCTGGGAACTGAACCTGGGTCCTCTACAAGAGCAGTCAGTGCTATTAACCTCTAGGCCATCTCTCCAGCTTGCTCTGTCTCTCTCTCTCTCTCTCTCTCTCTCTCTCTCTCTCTCTCTCTCTCACAATCACTCTAAGCTCCACCTTCTGTCGATGCTGCCAATTCTATCTTAAACTCCTGGGCTCAAGCAATCCCCTGGCCTCCATCTCCCATATAGCTAGGACTACAGTTGGGCACCGCTAGCCTTGGCTCCAAAAACCTTTCAGTCAAGAGCCAGACAACAAATATTTTAGGTTCTGCAAGTCATAAAAAGTCTCCGTCATAACTCCTAAATTCTGCAAAAGCAGCCAAAGATAGCAAGCAAGCAAGCAGGTATGGCTGTCTTACAAAAACTTTGCTGTGTTTACTGAAACAGCAGCTGGCTGGATGTGGCCTGAGGGCTGCAGTCCACCAGGCCTGATCTAGAGTGGTGACTAGCTAGAAGGGGTTGAGGAATACCTCTCTGTTTTTGGAGATGAGCCCTCAAGAAGATATCTTGAGAGGAAAGAGGAAAATTCCAGATAATTTGAAACCATGCAGTACATGAATAATATGGCAGATGAAAATCTAGCTAAGAAAAGACAAGTTCTGAGAAAAGGCACTGTTTTAGAAAACGGAGGTCCCAGCACTGTCAGGGAGACAAAGTGGAAAGCAAGTTCGTCTGAGGAAGGTTTTCTGTGAAGGGAATCTGTGTAAAAGGAACCAGGGAGACAAGCAGTCCCTGAAGGGGGTTCCCCAGAAAAGTTCTTCCTACTGACTTGTAGAGGAACTTTGTACTTTCTATGAAGAAAAAAAAAATGGAAAAAATAAAATAAGATCCTGGCCTGGTGTAGTGGCAAGTGTCATTCACGAGGCTGAGGCAGGAAGATTATGTGAACCTACCAGCTAGAGGCTAGCCTGGGCAACATAGCAAGACTCTATCCCCAAAATTTAAGTTAAATTCAAAAGGAGAGTCCAGGCCAGCATGAAGGAAGCCTGACAATCTGCCATTAGTGAAGGTGAATGAAGTCACAGAACTCAGCAGCTCAGGAGGGCAGCACCCAGAACTGGAAAACAAAGTGCTCCTGCAGGAGCCTCTAAGAGGATGAGCCCAGGCTGGCTCAGAAATGGGGTGAGGGGGGGTGTGTCTGCTTCGTCTAGTATTAGCTTTACAATTCAGGAAGTCCTTGCTTCAGACAGACAAAAGCACCAGGTGACCGTGGAGGAGCTAACAGGACAATTTCCACAAATCAAGCCAAATACAGCCAAAGCTTGGACGCACTTGCCAATGGCTCTAGTGGCTGGGAAACGCCATCGGCTGCGGAAGACCTTCCCATTCACAGAGTGAGAGAAACACTCCATTTCTTCCTGCTGCTGTGGAGGAGCAGAAGCTAATCTGTAGGTCTAGTTCTAGAACCACAGCAACCCTCCTGAGTAGGTTATGAAGGTCATGGTCAGTCTTCAATCCCTAAAGAACAGTCTGTTTCTTTCAGATGGTCTTGATGCAATTATACATCAACTATATTTCAGCCCCATGTCACTGTGGTGTTTGGCACATCTGCATAAACAGGGTGAATGTCTTTCAATATTAGTAATGTGTGTAATGTAAGGAAAAAAAAAAACCTCTGGAAACCTCACATAAGAGATGGCGGCTGCATGAGTTCTGTATAGTAACTATGTATATATATCGAGATGCTTTCTCTAAGGGTGTGCCTGTCACTCAAACAAGGCCAGCTCTGCAGGCTGGCCTGGCCCCGGCAAGGCTGATCCACTGCCGCCTTTCCCGGCGCTGCCAGTGAGCTACAACTGGCTCTCCCTCTCGCTGCTGCAGGACATTTTTGTGTCTCTTGCTAATGGTCCCTTGGGAGGCTGGCTGTCTTTGCTCCTCAATGGAGCCTGTGTGTGTGTATGTGTCGTAAAATCAGTGTCTGCCTTCACCAGTTCAAGACGGTCTGTCTGGGCCCCTTTCCGCTCGGAGGGAAAAAAGGGTTTCATTCTTTGATTTCCACTAAGCTCTTTCTCTTATGCAAATTATATATACATGTAAAGGCTGAATGTCCCTAATCTGAAAATCTGAAGTATTTCAAAATCTGAAACTTTAATCTCTGTCATGATGCTCAGTTGGGGATTTTGAACATTTCAAATTTTAGATTTTCCTATTGGGGATGCTCAACCAGTAAAGTCTGTCTGTATAGCCATTCCAAAATATCCAATATCTGAAGCAGTTCCAGTCTCCAGAATTTTGGTTAAAGGCTACCGAACTGAGCAAATACATTATCTTCTTGGCACATTAGGGATCTACGGCATGGGGGTGAGCAGACTAAATGGAAAACAGTCCAGAAATTCAAACGGCTGTCTGAGCAAAGGGAAAAACTGGACATTCTCTCTCCTCTAATTAACCTCAAGCAGTTCCCATTCAAAGGCCGAAGACAGGCTCCCATGCAGAAAGGAGAGCATGGGACATATTTTCAGAGGTATCACCGAGCAGCTCCCTAGCTGATGGGGCTCAGGTCACCCTGTTTGGGTGGCCAACCCCACTCTGGGTGCTTCATGGCCTGCTGGTCCTGGTGTCCACCACACACAGGGCAGCAGCCAGCACTGTGGATGCCGTTTTCTCATCAAGGCCCTCTCCTCAGAGCCCCCACCCTGGTTCCCAGGGATTTGGCATTACGCACTGGGCATCCGATGTAGGCAGAGTTGTGCACACCCGGGGGCCGCTTGTATGTGCCGTCACTGTCTGTGGTGATGAGTCTGTCCTTCTCAGCATCAGCCGGGCAGCCATTGACCTGGTGTTTCCGGCGTGGCTTAGGAGAACGTTTTATCCGTGAGCTGCCAGGACAAACAGAAATTATCTTCCTAAGAAATAAGCCTGTTTGCCACTGGCTCATTAACTAAACAGAGTATTTTCTGAGTGCTTACGATGTGCTGGCCACTGAAGGGAAAGCTCTAGGGATTCTGAAAAAGTGGGAGCCACAGTCTGGGCCCCATGGACCAGGCTTAACCACAACAGAGGGACAACAGAGCAGTCTGTACTCATAACATCATTTAGTGACATAGCAGGTGAAAAAGTAGCAGGTCAAGCCGAGCTATTAACAACCCCATTGACCACAGGGAGCTTGAACTGGTGACTAGATCTGAAGCAGTCATAGCTCTGTCTATGTGGAAGGCCAAGGAAAGAGCGAGTGCGGAAAAGACCACAACAGCTCCAGGGACACAGGTTAGAGCAGAGAAACACATAAGAAAACACATACTCATGGTGGGCAGGAGCTGGGAAATGGGGTAAGATGAGACCAAAGAATGCAGGAGGCTGTGGAAAAGTCAACGTGGAGACCCATGACATCACCCTGTGACTGCCCTGAAGGTGAAGAGAAGGAGGAGGGGCAGAAAGAGAGAAGGAGCCTGAGCACCACTGTCCCCAGGACCCCAGCCTACCTCTTCCTCGGCTCTATGAACACAGAGGGCACACTGGCTGCAGGGTCCAGGATCTTGTCGATTTGCATCTGTGCCCTCCTGTATACACGATGTCGCTCTTTGGTGTCACCAGAGGACAAGTCATCCACCACTGGGAACTCGTAGTGGCCTCGGCGTTTGGCACGTAGGCGGATCTTGTTGCGGTGATGCTCAATCTCTGACTTGTGCCGCAGAGCGGTCTGGATCTATGTGTGGGTGGCCAATAACAATCATATAGGGCATTTTGGGGGAGTTCTGGGACACTTTCTCCTCAAAGCCTTTTAGGAACTTCTGTCACAGGCCCAGGATAGAATAATCCCAAGTTCCCCATGGTGCATTTGCTCTGTCGAATAGAAGGAGGCAGCAACAGAAGTGACAGAAGATAAGCACAGCCTACATCGAGGCAGAGAGCCACCTAGCCATTTACTGATGAGCACCAGCTTAGGCAACTCTGGCCATCCACAGTCTAAGGCCAGTCTGCAAGGGCCAGGGGCGGCTGAGGTAGGAAAGCACACAGGTTTCTAAGAGCAGCTTTCTGCTCATCTATCACTGTCCCTGACCGTGGCGGGGGGCGGGGGGGGGGGGGGGCCCGAGGCCGCATTTCTCAGCAAAAAGTGTTTGGGGGTGGGAGGGGGGGTGGGGGGGGGGGGGGGGGGGGAGGTGGGTGTCTCATAGGGACAGAGTTGCAGCTTGGGGGGGGGGCTCCAGAGGCCTCATTGCTAGCAAAGAAGTTGTTGGCAGTTGATGGCAGCTGAGGGGTTGGGGAAGTGGCGCTTCTTCTTTGCGGATGTGACTATTGTTTGCCAGTGCCCCAGTGAACGACTGCTCATATGGTCAGTACTAATTGGACTCAGGAGGCTAATAATAATAATAGAGCTAGAGAGATGGCTCAAAGGTTAAGGGAACTGGCTGCTCTTGCGGAGGACATGGGTTCAGTTCTCAGCACCAATAAGGCAGCGAACAACCATCTGCAACTCCAGTTCCAGGAGATCTGATGCCTTCTTCTGACCTCTGAGGGAACTGCATGACACGGGTGCACCTACACACATGCAGGCAATACACTCATACATGTAAAACAAAAATAATAATAATAATAATGATAAAAAAAGGAGCGCCTTTAATTCCAGCAATTGGAAGGCAAAGAAAGGTGAATTTCTGTGTGACTGAGGCCAACCTGGTCTACACAGTGATTAGTCAGTTCCAGGCCAGCTGGGGCTACAGGGAGACCCTGTCTCGAAAAAAAAGAAAGAAGAAGGACATGAAAGACATGAAGTTGGGAGAAAGGCAGGTTGGAGGATCATAGGGGAGCTGGAAGGAAGTAATGGGGGTGGACAAGATCAAAACACATTATATACATATATAAACATTTCAAAGAATAAATAAAAACATTAAAAAATTAAGCATGAGGCTTTGCGGCTTTTTTGATTTTGTTTGTGTATTTTTTGTGTTTTGGAGACAGGGCCTCATTCTGCAGCCAAGCTGGCTTAGAAGTCATGATGTAACCCTCCTGCCTCAGCCTCCCTGAGTGCTGCGATTACAGGCCTGCCACCACATTTGGGTTGCAATGTTTTAAATTAGGTACATTCTCAGCAGCTCGTCTTAGGGACTGTTCAATGCTGGATCTTGTTTTTCGGCACTGACCAATTGAGAGTGTAAGCTTTTTCATTAACATGCTTTGATTAATCAACTACCTCTTTGTTGATTTTGTTGGTCTCTGCCACTCGGTCGGCCAAGACAGGGTGCTGCACAGGGGGAGCGGGGATGGGCTGCATGGCAATCAGCTGGATCTTACTGGGGACCCGCCGGCTAGCCTCTGAGGTTCGGGAAATCCTGTCCACATGCTCGAAGATGGAGGCAGAGGAATGCTGTTCATTCCCTGGACTGGGCAGGGGGGCTCCTGGAAAGGAGGAGAAGGAAATGAACAATAAAGCATCTGAAAGCAGCAGCAAGGAGCCAAAACTATGGATCATTCTTGAAAGAATGCTAAGACTGAGTCTCTGACCAAAGATACAGCCACATGCTGACCACAAAGTACTCTCTATTTCAGTGTACATGGTCTGTGTTTAAATACCTTCTTTTTCAGTCTCATTAAAAACTACAAATGGAGCCGGGCGTGGTGGCACATGCCTTTGATCCCAGCACTCGGGAGGCAGAGTTAGGCGGATCTCTGTTCAAGGCCAGCCTGGTCTACATAGTCAGTTCCAGGACAGCTGGGGCTACAGGGAGACCCTGTCTCAAAAAGACCGAAAAAAAAAAAATTGCAAATGGAAGTGGCACACACCTTTAGTCTTAACTTCAGTTCCTGGGGATCTAACGCCCTCCTCTGGCCTCCACAGGCATTGCACGCATGGGTGTATTTATATACAAGCAAACAAATCACTCGTATGCATAAGCTAAAAACACTTTAAAAAAAAAAACCAAATTACAAATGAGGGTCAGTGAGATAGCTCAATGGGTAAAGACAATTGCCCACAAGCCAAATGGTCTCAGTTTGATCCCCCAGATCCACATGGCTGCCGGACAGAACTGACTACGGAGAGCTGTTCCCTTCTTTTCTTATTGTTTATTTTTCTTTTGTATGAGTGTTTTGCATGTATTTATGAATGTGCACCCATGTTGTACAAAACCCACAGAAGACAGTGTTGGATCCCCTGGAACTCGAGTTACAGATGGTTGTTAGTCACCATGTGGATGCTCTAGAAGCAGCCAGTGCTCTTAACCACTGAGCCATCTCTCCAGCCCCTGGAAAGCTGTTCCTGACTTTAGAGATCTGCATTCACACCCACTTATGTAAACACACTTGTTGATTAAAATAAAGTTACAAATGTCTTTAGGAATATGTAAAGAAATCATTATGGTACTCTGTGTATCAAAGGTCACTCTGTTTGTCTACATGTGGTTAAAATCTTCAGAGAGAAAAAGGAAGGTTGGGCATATATATGCTCCGTTGGTACAGTGCTTCCCTCACATTCAGGAGGACCTGGGTTCCATACACAGGACCACAAAATAAAACATAAAACATGTGAGCTGAGTGTGGTACTGTGTGTCTGTAGAGGTAGAGAGAGGAAGAACAGGAGCTCAAGCTCATCCTCAGCTACACAGCAAGTTCAAAGCTAGCCTAGGAAACATAAGCATCTGTCTCAAAAAGAAAAAGAAAAAGGAAAGTAAAATGGACAGGACAGGAGACTGAAGATGCTCAACTAGTTAATAAACAATTTATAGAATTTTTACTAAATATATTTACAGCAGCTCTGAACTTCCACTATCATCTGGGAAGGAGCTCTGGAGGGTTATCAACTAGTTGTGAAGGCACGGGAACGCAGTCTTTCCTCAGTATGAGACAGGGGGATTGAGTCCAGGACCCTGTAGGTACCAAAGTCCATTAACTGATGCTCAAATTCTTCTATAAAATGGTGCAGTATCTACCTAGAGATACTCCTAAGCACATCCTCCTGTATGCTTTAAATCACCTGTTTGTTATTTATAAATCACCTCTATATCACACACACACACACACACACACACACACACACACACACACAGTCTTTTTGAGACAGAGTCTCCCTGGCCAGGAACTTGCTATGTAGAACAGGTTGGCCTCAATCTCAGAGATTCACCTGCCTTTGCCTCCTGAGTGCTGGGATTAAAGTCATGCACCATCATATCTAGCCTTTCTTATAATTCTTTTTTTTTAAATATACTTTTAAAATTTTATGTGTATGAGTATATTGCCTGCATGTGTTTAAGTACACCCGTGTCATGCAATGCCCAAGGAGGTCAGAAGAGGGTGTCAGGTTCCCCTAGAACTGGAACTACTGAGAGTTGTGAGCTGCCATGTGGGTGCTGGGGATCAAACCCAGGTCCTCTGCAAGAGCAATCAGTGCTCTTAACTGCTGAGCCACCTCTCCAGCCTCTTATAAATCTTAACACAATGTAGATGTTATGTTAATAATTACTATACTAATTAGGGAATAGTGACCCCCCCCCCAAAAAAAAGGTTAAATATATCCAGGACGCCTGAACCCTTAAAATATA